TCACGCCGGCCGCCTTTACTTTCCGGAACTGCACCCGGTACCCACTCAAGGCTGAGTCGACCTTAGAGCCAAGGTCATTTCTGAAAAAGTCCGGCTCCTCCATGGAGCGAACCCACGACCTTCCTATCCGCGTCGAGTGCCTAGCTGCTCGGCCACAGGGACTCCCATTTATATCTCTGATCTACTCTAAATTGTGCGTTCACAAATTTATTTCTCTAAATAATAGTGGCTGACCAGATCTTTCTAAATACCAGGGGAATTTCAAAAGAAACCTCATAGTTTGACAGAAACTACAATAACCAAGCCATTGTCTAGTGACATGTCAATATGGTTGTTAAGGATATCAAGAGTGTCAAGTACATGACATTATGGCGCAGACGAACATATTGCTTCATAATGTCAGTGTAAAGATGGCCGCCGCACTTTTGACATACACTGAAAAGTGTTCGGTCATCCGTATTTTATTTTGAATGCAGTGAAAGGGTAAACCCTACCGACATGTATCGGGGAATAAAGGTCCAGTGTGGGGTACATGCCTGTCAGACTAGCAAGTGGATGAGGGGATTAGAACCCCCTCCTCCGAAGACACTAGTTAGTGTGCATAAACAGTAATCTTGCTGGTTACAAATAAGCTTTGTTTAAATATGAACACACGCAAAAACACACACACACACACAAAACCATAATTTAGAAATGAAAAAAAATGGAGGGGGGGGGGGGGGGTCACAATTTGCATAAGACAATTTAAAAGATTTTGAGATTGTGCTGGTTCAGTGTGCTGGTTCAGTGTGCTGGTTCAGTGTACTGGTTCAGTGTGCTGGATCAGTGTGCTGGTTCAGTGTGCTGGTTCAGTCTGCTGGTTCAGTGTGCTGGTTCATTGTGCTGGTTCAGTGTGCTGGTTCAGTGTGCTGGTTCAGTGTGCTGGTTCAGTGTGCTGGTTCAGTGTGCTGGTTCAGTGGTTTTTAAAATAGTTTCACAGGCAACCCTCCCCATTTACCTGGGTTCGATTTCGCTGTTGGGGGTGGGGGGGGGGGCGAAAGGATATGATTGTTCACATAGATTTCAGATAGTTGTATAAGAATCACACCTTGGAAGAAATTAGAGCCTCTGCAGGCAATATCTCCATATTTAGCAAAGGTTACACTCTGTGCGCGGCAAGATCAGGTGGTGCCCGTTGAGGAAATTCTCCTATAACCCTCTCCACAAACACAAACTTATATATATATATATATATATATATATATATATATATATATATATATATATATATATATATATATATATATATATATATACACACACACAAACATGCACCCACACACAAACACACACACACAATCTGATGTTAGAAACACATATGTTTGCCATTTTGTCACCCCCTCAGTGATGACACCCGGAGCCGCCCGCACCCCCACACGCCCCTGACCACACCTTTGTTTTATCTTGCAGCGAACCTTCACTACGGAGACGCTATTATTTGGATATTATATGCAAATGTGCATTGTGTGTTCTTCTGTATTCTTTCGTCAATATTTGTTGAAGCTGCCAGGCGTCACATTTCGTCAGATGATCATCAGGCGAGCCAGGACGCGCTCAGTCGAATGATATGCAGTGAGGTCATGCAGCCTCAAGGTGTCAGTGACTGCTTCAATCCATTGTCTTCTCGGTCTTCCCCGACTTTTTGTGTGTTTCGATTGTTAGATTGTACGCTCTTGCTGCTGGCATCGTTGGTTTTCATTCCTATTATATGACCAAACCATTTCATTCTTTGTTTCTCGATAAATTCGACGATGAGTGTTGTTCCAACAGTTCTAGTGATCGTGTCGTTTCTCACTCGATCTCTTGTGGTTTTACTCGCAGCCATTCGCAAACATCTTATCTCACAGGTGGTTAGTTTTCTTTCGTGTTGTTCTGTCAATATTCAAGTCTGACATAGATAACCTAAAGTCGGTATAAATATTGTGTTTATAATTTTGTGTTCTTACCATCGGAAAATTCCGAAGTCTGCTCATCCAAAGACTGTAAACACCTTCGGACATTCACCATTGAAGAGTTGCGAGCCATAAACGTCGAATGGAACTCTTCCGGGTTTTTCAGCAACATTTCCTTGAGAAAACACGATTGCTAATGTCAATGGAAAGTAGTAGTATTGCAGGCATTTATACACTTTAACTGCAATGCGTATAGAAAGCAGTTGCTAATATGTATGTGTACATCTGTCCTCTAATGATTCAGTTAAACGATCAGTCAACAATGCACATTTTAGAACAACAAACTGATGACAACAACAGCGGGTAGGAGTGTCGCAAGAGGAGTATCGCAAGAGGAGTGTCGCAAGAGGGGTGTCGCAAGAGGAGTGTCGCAAGAGGAGTGTCGCAAGAGGAGTGTCGCAAGAGGAGTGTCGCAAGAGGAGTGTCGCAAGAGGAGTTTCGCAAGAGGAGTGTCGCAAGAGGAGTGTCGCAAGAGGAGTGTCGCAAGAGGAGTGTCGCAAGAGGAGTGTCGCAAGAGGAGTGTCGCAAGAGGAGTGTCGCAAGAGGAGTGTCGCAAGAGGAGTGTCGCAAGAGGAGTGTCGCAAGAGGAGTGTCGCAAGAGGAGTGTCGCAAGAGGAGTGTCACAAGAGGTGTGACGAGGGGATCCGACCGATACTCGACGCTCAGAGGAAAGACAAGACGGACATATAATCAGACTTATTGGAACTCTGCCCTGGCTGCTGAAGTAAGGGAAGGAGCGCTTATGGAAATGTCCTGAGTGCTTTGACTTCGCTTATACAATCAGCACCACTGAAGGCAAGATCGGAGCATGTATGGATTTGTCCAGAGATTTTTTTTAAATTCAAGACCTCACTAATTTTTCTTCTTCTTCTTCTTTCGTTCGCTTGAAACAGATTATATAAATCTGCAATGTTGTCTCTAGTGCGAACTTTATGGTACATCCGTCTAGTACAGTAGTACTAGTACTCCACTATCTAGTACGTTAGTACTGGTACTCAACTGCCTAGTATGGTAGTACTGGTACTCCACTGTCTAGTACGGTAGTACTAGTACTCCACTGTCTAGTACGGTAGTACTAGTGTTCCACTGTCTAGTACGGTAGTACTAGTACTATAGTGTCTCGTACGGTAGTACTAGTACTCCACTGTCTCGTACGGTAGTACTAGTACTCCACGGTCTAGTACGATAGTATTAGTGTTCCACTGTTTAGTAAGGTAGTACTAGTACTCCACTGTCTAGTACAGTACTCCACTGTCTAGTACGGTGGTACTAGTACTCCACAGTCTAGTACGAGGGTACTAGTACTTCACTGTCTAGTACGGTAGTACTAGTACTCCACTGTCTAGCACGGTAGTTCTAGTACTTCACTGTCTAGTACGGTAGTACTAGTACTCCACTGTCTAGTACGGTAGTACTAGTACTCTGATGTCAAGTACGTTAGTACTAGTACTCCACAGTCTAGTACGGTATTACTAGTATTTCACAGTCTAGTACGGTAGTACTAGTACTCCACTGTCTATTACGGTAGTACTAGTATTCCACTGTCTAGTACGGTAGTACAAGTACTCCACTGTCTAGCACGGTAGTACTAGTACTCCACTGTCTAGTACGGTAGTACTAGTACTCCACTGTCTAGTACAGTAGTACTAGTACTCCACTGTCTAGCACAGTAGTTCTAGTACTCCACTGTCTAGTACAGTAGTACTAGTACTCTACTGTCTAGTACGGTAGTACTAGTACTCCAATGTCTAGTACGTTAGTACTAGTAATCCACAGTCTAGTACTGTAGTACTAGCATTTCACAGTCTAGTACGGTAGTACTAGTACTCCACTGTCTAGCACGGTAGTACTAGTATTTCACTATCTATTACGGTAGTACTAGTGTTCCACTGTCTAGTCCGGTAAGACTAGTATTCCACTGTCTAGGCCGGTAGTACTAGTACTCCACTGTCTAGTGCGGTAGTACTAGTACTCCACTGTCTAGCACGGTAGTACTAGTACTTCACTGTCTAGTACGGTAGTACTAGTACTCCACTGTCTAGCACGGTAGTACTAGTACTTCACTGTCTAGTACGGTAGTACTAGTACTCCACTGTCTAGTACGGTAGTACTAGCACTCCACTGTCTAGTACGGTGGTACTAGTACTCCACTGTCTAGTACGGTGGTACTAGTACTCCACTGTCTAGTACGGTAGTACCAGTACTCTATTGTCTAGTACGGTAGTACCAGTACTCCACTGTCTAGTACGGTAGTACTAGTACTCCACTGTCCAGTACGGTAGTACCAGTACTCCACTGTCTAGTACGGTAGTACCAGTACTCTATTGTCTAGTACGGTAGTACCAGTACTCAACTGTCTAGTACGGTAGTACCAGTGCTCCACTGTCTAGTACGGTAGTACCAGTACTCTATTGTCTAGTACGGTAGTACCAGTACTCAACTGTCTAGTACGGTAGTACCAGTACTCCACTGTCTAGTACGGTAGTACCAGTACTTTTTTGTCTAGTACGGTAGTACCAGTACTCTACTGTCTAGTACGGTAGTACCAGTACTTTACTGTCTAGTACGGTAGTACTAGTACTCCACTGTCTAGTACAGTAGTACTAGTACTCCACTGTCTTTTGTAATTCACTCAGCGAGGCGTTAAGTTTGGCTTGCGCCCGTGTTTCTCCTGCCAACATGGCCTTTTAGACTGTAGCTCAGCGCTCAAAAGTTTAGCCTTTGCACTTTGGTATTTGTTAAACAGATTCCGACAAAGTCTGATTTTAGCTGTTTACCGATTTCCATATCATTATGCAGTTGTTCTAGATCAGGATTTCAGTATGTTTTATATTGCTTATGTCCACCGCTTGATATTTTTTTTGTCCAGGGCTGCCTGCACTATACATTTGCAAAACTATTGTACCACTTTGTATTGTTATCTCTTTTTATATTTCTATTGTTGCGTATGGTGCGTTCTCACTCATCACTAGCCATGTAATGAAAAGGTTAGCATATTTGCGGACTCACTTGCATCTTGTACAACTTGTCGCAGATGTCCCGTCCTACCAGGTTGGTGAATACGGCATACATGAAAGGATTGGAGGCGAAGTAGGCTTGCAGGATTGGGTACACCCATGACAACATCATAGCATCCTCGCTGGCGGAGATTGTCACCTGTAGGCAGGATTAGGTGTCTGTGCATGGTGGTTACGTGTGTGAAGGTCGTCTCTAGGCAGGCTCAGGTGTCTGTGCATGGTGGTTACGTGTGTGAAAGTCTACTGTAGACAGGCTCAGGTGTCTGTGCATGGTGGTTACGTGTGTGAAAGTCACCTGTAGACAGGCTCAGGTGTCTGTGCATGTTGGTTACGTGTGTGAAAGTCGTCTGTAGACAGGCTCAGGTGTCTGTGCATGGTGGTTACGTGTGTGAAAGTCACCTGTAGACAGGCTCAGGTGTCTGTGCATGTTGGTTACGTGTGTGAAAGTCACCTGTAGACAGGCTCAGGTGTCTGTGCATGTTGGTTACGTGTGTGAAAGTCGTCTGTAGGCAGGATCAGGTGTCTGTGCCAGATGGTTACGTGTGTGAAAGTCGTCTGTAGACAGGCTCAGGTGTCTGTGCATGGTGGTTACGTGTGTGAAAGTCGTCTGTAGACAGGATCAGGTGTCTGTGCCAGATGGTTACGTGTGTGAAAGTCGTCTGTAGGCAGGATCAGGTGTCTGTGCATGTTGGTTACGTGTGTGAAAGTCGTCTGTAGACAGGATCAGGTGTCTGTGCCAGATGGTTACGTGTGTGAAAGTCGTCTGTAGACAGGCTCAGGTGTCTGTGCATGGTGGTTACGTGTGTGAAAGTCTACTGTAGACAGGATCTGGTGTCTGTGCATGGTGGTTACGTGTGTGAAAGTCGTCTGTAGACAGGATCAGGTGTCTGTGCCAGATGGTTACGTGTGTGAAAGTCGTCTGTAGGCAGGCTCAGGTGTCTGTGCATGGTGGTTACGTGTGTGAAAGTCGTCTGTAGACAGTGTCACGCCTTGTTTTGTCATGTGTTTATTTGTCTATGTTAACTTAAATGGCTTGGAGATGGGCTAGAGACAGCAACCTTACATAAGCTTCAGAAACAAATGCACATCTATTGCCAAAGAAGAGTTCCCATGCTGGTACTACCAGTGACATGTCATTGAGAATTACCTCTTGCTGGTACTACCAGTGACATGTCATTGAGAATTACCTCTTGCTGGTACTACCAGTGACATGTCATTGAGAATTAACCCTTGCTGGTACTACCAGTGACATGTCATTGAGAATTACCTCTTGCTGGTACTACCAGTGACATGTCATTGAGAATTACCTCTTGCTGGTACTACCAGTGACATGTCATTGAGAATTACCTCATGCTGGTACTACCAGTGACATGTCATTGAGAATTAACCCATGCTGGTACTACCAGTGACATGTCATTGAGAATTACCTCATGCTGGTAATTTCCGCAGGCACTTCCAGTGACATCCAGTGACATCCAGTGACATCCAGGGACATCCAGTGACATCCAGTGACATCCAGGGAAATCCAGTGACATCCAGTGACATCCAGGGACATCCAGTGACATCCAGTGACATCCAGTGACATCCAGGGACATCCAGGGACATTCAGGGACATCCAGTGACATCCAATGACATCCAGTGACATCCAGTGTCAACTTTGATTCCCGCCTTCTTGTGTACATGATCTCAACAGAATAAACCAACATCTCTATTTTACAGATGCAGCATCACTCATGGGGATGGACTGGTAACCACTGGGCTTTGTGACACAATCATGCTCTTGTGTTATTATGATCGAGCTCACTGCACACTGCACACTGCTCACTGCACACTGCACACTGCACTGCACACTGCACACTGCACACTCCTATGTCTTAGTCCTTAGTCTTCCTATGCATCAACTATTCCAGCATTCTTCTTGGCATTGTTTTTTTCCTGGCAGTACGTAACGGTACGTAGTACTGGCACCACTTGTTAGGCATCACTTCTTTCAACACTGCTGAGATGGACACTTTGTGGTGAATGCTGTTCCTTTTTTTTAAGGCAGACTGTGGTCAGTACCGACACCTATTTTTGCAGAAAAAGAGCATTCTTCTCCGCAATGTTCCAGGGAGCAGTTTGTTCAATGCATCCTAATATTCAAATCAGAGACAACACAGACTGTCCCAGAGACAACACAGACTGTCCCAGAGATTACACAGACTGTCCCAGCGATTACACAGACTGTCCCAGAGACAGCATTGACTGTCCCAGAGACGACACAGACTGTCCCAGAGACAACACAGACTGTCCCAGAGTCGACACAGACTGTCCCAGAGACGACCCAGACTGTCCCAGAGACAACATAGACTGTCCCAGAGACAACATAGACTGTCCTAGAGACGACACAGACTGTCCCAGAGACGACATAGACTGTCCCAGAGACGACACAGACTGTCCCAGAGACGACACAGACTGTCCCAGAGACGACACAAACTGTCCCAGAGACGACACAGACTGTTCCAGAGACGACACAGACTGTCCCAGAGACGACATAGACTGTCCCAGAGACGACACAGACTGTCCCAGAGACGACACAGACTGTCCCAGAGACGACATAGACTGTCCCAGAGACGACACAGACTGTCCCAGAGACGACACAAACTGTCCCAGAGACGACACAGACTGTTCCAGAGACGACACAGACTGTCCCAGAGACAACACAGACTGTCCCAGAGACGACACAGACTGTCCCAGAGACCAGCAGAAATCAGATACTTTACCTGGAACTTCTCAGAGGCGTCGTTTGCGAACAGAGGCAGGGAGTCAAACTCTGGGGAGTCAATGAACTCATTGGGGTCAATGGAGTGTAGAAATACGCCTTCGTGTGTGACCTTTAACCTGTTATCGAGTACACCCAAAGACATGTGTGAGTGTTACACTCTTGAAATTGTTCAGCTGACAAAACTCAGTTACTTGCACAATTGTTACATGTTTTATAGTTCACAGTTTCTTTGCTTATGTTACTAAATCTTTCAACTATTTCACAACCAAGAAAATCTGCATTCTTCAATAATCGTCTTCTACTTCTTCTTTTTCCTTCTTTCTTCTTTATTATTTCTTCTTTCTTCTTCCTTTATTTTTCTTCCTTCTTTCTTCTTAATTTTTTCTACTTCCTTCTTCCTCCCCCTTCTCCCTTTTTCTTCCTTCTTATTTTTCCTTCTTCCTGCTTCTTTCTTCTTCTCCTTTGTTTGTGTGGTATGCTGTGACTTTGGAGAGTTACATTTCCTAGGCATTGCGTTCTTAGGGCTATCACCTGAAAAAGCCAGATCAGATATGAATGCATTCTGAGTCGAATGACCATATTCAATCAATGAATCAATCATTCGATCAATCACACAGGAACTATGCCCAGACGCCACCTTTTGCACTGTCGAGTGCCAGGTAGAAAACTCACCTGCCCATCAGCAGTAACGGACACCTTCTCCCTGGACGAGGTGTGATTCTCGAACGAATAGAAGCCACCTTTGTGAAGGGAGACAATTGTTCCCAGGCTGCACATCTCCCCGAACTCTTTACTGGACACGTTCAGCGGGCTTAGTCTCTTCTTGTAAAAGTCATTGACACAGGGGCTGAACTGGTTCTGCAGACAGACAACTCAAGTAAACCTCGAGTTCAAACACGCAGGCAGACAACTCAGCTGTTCATCGAGTTCAAACCTGCAGGCAGACAACTCAAGTAAACATCCAGTTCAAACTCGCAGACAGACAAGTAAATATCGAGTTCAAACTTGCAAGCAGACAACTCAGTAAACATCCACTTCAAACAGTCGCAGACATACAACTCAAGTAAATATATAGTTCAAACTTGCAAGCAGACAACTCAAGTAAATATCCAGTTCAAACACGCAGACAGACAACTCAAGTAAATATCGAGTTCAAACTTGCAAGCAGACAACTCAAGTAAACATCCAGTTCAAACTCGCAGACAGGCAACCAACGAAAACATCGAGTTCAAACCTGCAGCAAAACTTCTCAAAAATACATCGCATTCAAACCTGCATATTGACAACTGAAATAAACATATGGTTCAAGCCTGCAGGTAGGACAACACAAAATAGATAAATGTTCATTTAAAAAACAAGTATCAATGATTGCTTCATAAGGTTTTAATGACCGTATCATCATCAATCTCAAGGTCTCTTACATAATTGTGTTGTCCTCGCGGCACGCATAAAAGTTCCTCATCCTCTAGCCAATTCTCCAGCCCTGTGTCCTTACATGGTCACTGCATCTTGAATGTTTTGTATCCACATCCATAGAGGTCTGCCCCTGCCTCGGTCTCCCTAAATCTGTACCCAGTCGCCGTTCTCTCATGGTGACCTCGGCATTTCACATGGTGAATACACTTTCGCTTTGGAGACAGGATGATCTTTACGAGCCAGTTCTCCTTGTTGTTCAGATCATCTAGGATGTCGGTGTTTTTCCTTTTTTTAAAATCTTCTTAGTTGTACATTTCCGTTGTCTCCCATTCCTGTGCAGAAAAGTATGGATTTCCTGGCCACACAGCATAGCAGGTTACAAGAGACTTGTGTCTGCAGGTTACACGGGACTGGTGTCTGCAGGTTACACGGGACTGGTGTCTGCAGATTACACGGGACTGGTGTCTGGAGATTACACGAGACTGGTGTCTGCTGGTTACACCGGACTGGTGTCTGCAGGTTACACGGGACTGGTGTCTGCAGGTTACACGGGACTGGTGTCTGCAGGTTTCACGGGACTGGTGTCTGGAGGTTACACCGGACATGGTGTCTGCAGGTTACACGGGACCTGGTGTCTGGAGGTTACACCAGACTGGTGTCTGCAGGTTTCACGGGACCTGGTGTCTGGAGGTTACACCAGACTGGTGTCTGCAGGTTTCATGGGACCTGGTGTCTGGAGGTTACACCGGACCTGGTGTCTGCAGGGTACACGGGACTGGTGTCTGCAGGTTACACGGGACTGGTGTCTGGAGGTTACACCAGACTGGTGTCTGCAGGTTACACCGGACTGGTGTCTGGCTGGAGGTTACACGGGACTGGTGTCTGGAGGTTACACGGGACTGGTGTCTGCAGGTTACACCGGACTGGTGTCTGCAGGTTACACGGGACTGGTGTCTGCAGGTTACACGGGACTGGTGTCTGGAGGTTACACGGGACTGGTGTCTTCAGGTTACACCAGACTGGTGTCTGCAGGTTACACCAGACTGGTGTCTGGAGGTTACACCAGACTGGTGTCTGCAGGTTACACGAGACTGGTCTCTGCAGATTACACCGGACCTGGTGTCTGCAGGTTACACGGGACTGGTGTCTGGAGGTTACACGAGACTGGTCTTTGCAGATTACACCGGACCTGGTGTCTACAGGTTACACGGGACTGGTGTCTGGAGGTTACACCAGACTGGTGTCTGGAGATTACACGGGACTGGTGTCTGGAGGTTTCACGGGACTGGTGTCTGCAGGTTACACGGGACTGGGGTCTGGAGGTTTCACGGGACCTGGTGTCTGCAGGTTACACGGGACTGGTGTCTGCAGGTTACACGGGACTGGTGTCTGGAGGTTGAACAACGTATCCGGGCTTTGTTCGGTTGACCCAACTGACATTGTGTATTATCATGGTATCATTCCTTCAGTTAGAATCCCACTGCTGGAAATCGGTACGCGAGGCATTCTTGTATTTTTTAGCGCTTTCTGATATTTCTTTATAACTGACGACACATATAAGACCATGTCAGTTGTTTGGTAACTGACGAAAAATATAACACCATGCCAGTTGTTTGGTAACTGACGACACATATAAGACCATGTCAGTTGTTTGGTAACTGACGACACATAAAAGCCCATGTCAGTTTTTTGGTAACTGACGACACATATAAGACCATGTCAGTTGTTTGGTAACTGACGACACATATGAGACCATGTCAGTTGTGGTAACTGACGACACATCATGTCAGTTGTACCTTCTTCTTCTTCTTCTGCGTTCGACATCATTCATGCTAGACATTGAGTCCCGTCTGGGTCACAAATAGGATTGTGCGTTTAAGGTCGCCACCGGTCACCCATAGCTTCTCTTTCAATGTGGCTCCCTTGGGTCAGATCCACAGTCTTTGCTGGGAGAGGTTAGGGCAGTACTGTAGTATGTGCTCATGGGTCTGTCTTTCTGCTCCACAATCACAGGCAGAAGATTCTTTTATGCCTATCCTGTACAGGTGTGCTCGAAGACCACAGTATCCAGTCCGAAGTCTAAAAATTGTTGTTTGTTATTTCCTGTTGAGTTTGTTTATGCTGTCACTCTCTGGTCTGTAATCTCCATTCTGCCTTCTCCACTCCCGCTTGAAAGACTGCTTTAGCGTTGTTTTGGTTTCCTTGTAGCTGTGTGGTGGATGAGGTTATACTCCCAGCTTTTGCCAACTCATCTGCTCTCTTATTTCCTTAAATATCACAGTGGGCTGGTATCCACTGCAAGGTCAGTTCTGCTTCCTTGGAGAGTAAGCCAATGTTGGTCCTTAGATCTGCAATTAGTTTGTCTTGTTTTTTGCTTGATAGTGCTTTGAGAACAGACAATGAGTCACTGAGTATAACAATGTTGTGCCCTCTGTGTTCTTGATTGATGAGATGTTGGACTGCAGAAAGGAGTACCAAACAACTGGCATGGTCTTATATGTGTCGTCAGTTACCAAACAACTGACATGGTCTTATATGTGTCGTCAGTTACCAAACAACTGACATGGTCTTATATGTGTCGTCAGTTACCAAACAACTGACATGGTCTTATATGTGTCGTCAGTTACCAAACAACTGACATGGTCTTATATGTGTCGTCAGTTACCAAACAACTGGCACGATGATGAGAGAAAGATGGTGTGTTGGTGGGGTGGTGATGATGATGAGAAGGATGGTGTGTTGGTGGGGTGGTGATGATGATGAGAAGGATGGTGTGTTGGTAGTGGTGATGATGCTAATGCTGAAGAGGTATATGGGAAATATAATGAATATGAAAATGAGATGATGCACCAACATACGTGAATGTGGACAGTACGGGACACTCCCTGAGGCTTTCTTTAGGCTAGATTGGTGGTGATGATGATGACGACGATGATGGTGATGATAATGAGAACGATGATGGTTATGATAATGACAACGATGATGATGATAATGATGATGATGATGATGAGGATGATGATGACAACGATGATGATGATGACGATGTAGACGGTAAAGTGTGCGACACTCACTGGGATGTTTGTATAGGCCAGGCTGATGATGTGCATCACGTCGATGAAAAAGAGCAGACAGTTCCAGACGAGGACGTCCAGCCTGCAGACCACGAAGCCGGCCCACATGACCACCAGGAAGTAGCCGATGGCCAGCAAGCAGCGCAGCAGCAGCATGTGGTGGCGGAAAACTGCAGGGCGTGAACAGCGGGACCACAGCACACAACTGCGCCAGCTGCGACACAAGTTCAACGGTTGAGTTACTCAATGGGTGTTCCTATTACAGGGCTGCCCATGATGGGGTTTACCCCCCAGATCTGGGTTTTTATTTGAAATTTGTACTGTTTAATAAAATGAGGTTTTTTTTTTTTTAATCGTTCTTTGCCTATGTATTGCTTGGCAGCCCTGGTTCTGAAGTGTCTGTGTGAATATAGTGGGTGATGTTTGAAAGAGAATTTCTTAGCTCAGTCACACTGTCAGATGCCTAAGGAAGAGAAGCGGCGAAGAAGAGAACTGGTCACCCGAGCTCATTAGGGCTAAGATCTGACAGATTTAAAACACTAAACATCCCAATCTGTGCGACGTCGGTAAGTCAGTTCCATGCTTGATTGTTTGAAAACTGACCTCCGTAATGTTCTCTCAACACAAGGAGGATTGGCTTCCAAAAAGTGTGATGGTTACTGCTTTCAAAAAAAGCGTTGTTTGGCCTTCCCTGCCCTACAGTCCAGCGTAGAGAGACTTAGTCTCCGCTGAATTACTCTTCAGCTGGCATCTACTAGCTTACTCTCCGTCCTAGAAAGGATTAGACTCATTTGTTTAGCTAGATCTTCAACGTTAAGGTCAATGCATTATTTTTTGTGTGTGCTTCTTGAGCGGCCACTTAGCTCATGGAAAGTGCATGCAGAGCTCTCGGAGCTCCAGGGGCGATCGTTTGTGAACCGTTGCACTAAACACCTGACCACGTAGTCTTAGTCTTCCCTCGAAACGATATTTTACAATTGGCCGGGGCTTTCAGATTGATCTAGATTAGAATCAGTAAAAGGAAAGTTGTACCTAAACAAAAGAAGCGGCCGGCGTAGAACTGACACATTATCATCATCATCATCAGGTGCCTTGCCGACTGACGTGGGCCATCATGACTCTCCATAATCTACGATCTCCTGCAGCATGTATCAGTTCGTGTGCCGACACACCTCCATGCTATGCAACAAGACTGTCAAGCATCTTCTCTCGTTGTCTTCCTCTATCTCTCCTTCCACAGATCTTTTCAGTGGTCACAACATGTTCTATTTTCCCTCTTCTCATAACATGGCCAAAAAATGGTGACTGTCTCCTTCTGATGCCTGTGATAAGTTGTCTTCGGGCTCCCGCCTCTTTCAAAACCTCTTGGTTGCTCTTTTTGGCTGTCCAAGGTATTCTAAGCATTCTTCTGTAAAACCACATCTCCAAGGGCTCCAGAAATTGTTTGGCCCGCCTACCGATTGTCCAGGATTCACAGACATATGTTAAAACGGGATGTATGTAGCAAGCAAGAATTCTTTTTTTAACTCTCAATGACAAGGATATATTGCACAAGATGTTTTTCATTTTATAAAATGCAGTTTTTGCCTGTCCTATTCTGTTTCTTATCTCAGTTATGCAACTTCCATCTGATGTTATCCATGTGCTCAGATACTTAAATTTCTGTACTTGTCCTAAAATAACACCATCAACTTTTATTACACGCTTAGGAATAATTCGTTTCTTTGATACCACTATTACTTCTGTCTTCCCATTATTCAAACTGAGGCCCATTCTTCCACTTTCTAACACCACAATGTCTATCATTTCCTGTAGTTCTTTCTGACTTGTTGCTATCAAGACTGTGTCATCAGCATAACGTAAATTGTTTATATTGTGCCCACCAATCAAAATTCCGGGCATATCAATTAAACTGACTATATCAGCCGCTCTGACAATTCTCAATTAACATAATGTGCTCAATTTGCCACAAGGGTATGAAGTGTTTAGGGAGTGTAGACAAGCAGACAGTCAGACGCAAAGGTAGTCAAACAGACAGTCAGAAGGGCAGACATATGGACAGTCAAGCAGTGAGAGAGATTGGCAGGCAGACAGACAAACAGACAGTCAGAAGGGCAGACATATGGACAGTCAAGCAGTGAGAGAGATTGGCAGGCAGACAGACAAACAGACAGTCAGAAGGGCAGACATATGGACAGTCAAGCAGTGAGAGAGATTGGCAGGCAGACAGACAAACAGACAGTCAGAAGGGCAGACATATGGACAGTCAAGCAGTGAGAGAGATTGGCAGGCAGACAGACAAACAGACAGTCAGAAGGGCAGACATATGGACAGTCAAGCAGTGAGAGAGATTGGCAGGCAGACAGACAAACAGACAGTCAGAAGGGCAGACATATGGACAGTCAAGCAGTGAGAGAGATTGGCAGGCAGGCAGACAAACAGACAGTCAGAAAGGCAGACATATGGACAGTCAAGCAGTGAGAGAGATTGGCAGGCAGACAGACAAACAGACAGTCAGAAAAGCAGACATATGGACAGTCAAGCAGTGAGAGAGATTGGCAGGCAGACAGTCAAACAGACAGTCAGAAGGGCAGACATATGGACAGTCAAGCAGTGAGAGAGATTGGCAGGCAGACAGACAAACAGACAGTCAGAAAGGCAGAAATATGGACAGTCAAGCAGTGAGAGAGATTGGCAGGCAGGCAGACAAACAGACAGTCAGAAAGGCAGACATATGGACAGTCAAGCAGTGAGAGAGATTGGCAGGCAGACAGACAAACAGACAGTCAGAAAGGCAGACATATGGACAGTCAAGCAGTGAGAGAGATTGGCAGGCAGACAGACAAACAGACAGTCAGAAAGGCAGACATATGGACAGTCAAGCAGTGAGAGAGATTGGCAGGCAGGCAGACAAACAGACAGTCAGAAAGGCAGACATATGGACAGTCAAGCAGTGAGAGAGAGATTGGCAGGCAGACAGACAAAACAGACAGTCAGAAAAGCAGACATATGGACAGTCAAGCAGTGAGAGAGATTGGCAGGCAGACAGACAAACAGTCAGTCAGAAGGGCAGACATATGGACAGTCAAGCAGTGAGAGAGATTGGCAGGCAGACAGACAAACAGACAGTCAGAAAAGCAGACATATGGACAGTCAAGCAGTGAGAGAGATTGGCAGGCAGACAGACAAACAGTCAGTCAGAAGGGCAGACATATGGACAGTCAAGCAGTGAGAGAGATTGGCAGGCAGACAGACAAACAGACAGTCAGAAAAGCAGACATATGGACAGTCAAGCAGTGAGAGAGATTGGCAGGCAGACAGACAAACAGTCAGTCAGAAGGGCAGACATATGGACAGTCAAGCAGTGAGAGAGATTGGCAGGCAGACAGACAAACAGACAGAAAACCAGATATAAATGCATACCTGAAATAGAGCGTGTTGAGCCTCCTGCCAACTAGAGCATAGCCCAGTCATCGAGACCAATACTGAGGGTGTAGCTGAGCCCAGTCCACTACCGGTACCATTCTTGTCCCCTGCCCAGAGACTGTCATATGCGGCTGTGTCGTGGTCGTGCACATAATTGCCGCTAACGTTCAGCAACAGACTCCAGTTGGTGAAGGGCAGCAGACGGGACAGCTCGCCTCCAACAACACCCATTTCAGCGTTGAGTGTTCAACGTCACTCTCGGCTTCTAATCACCGTCTGCCTTCGTCAAGTATATATCCAGATGGCTATCCACTTCAACAATATATCCACCATGGCTATCCACTTCAACAATATATCCACCATAGCTATCCACTTTAACAATAGGTCAGAGAGTGAGGAAAATGTGATTTGACTTTTTCTAATGAGATGCTTTGCACTTAGAGCCTTTATTCTTGGCCTTGTCACAAAAAAGGCCACTTATATCAATAACAACGAAGCAAACAAAACACTGTGATCAGATAATGTACACGTCATCAGGTTTGAGGTTTGACCAACAGATCAACATCATGGCACACGGGTAGTAACCCTTATGGGTTCTTCTTCTAACTAATTTTTGAGTCCGCAGAAGCTCAGCACAGTGCACAAGCTCTGTAGCACCGGCGAGGATCCTTAAATACTTTGGGTAGATAATTAATTCCAAATTTTGCCCAGGCAGCGTCGTTATACTCCTCTTTTCGATTTCCAACTGCCTAGGGATTTTTTTATGTGTGCAACAATGTACACATGCGTCCGATCTCACTATCCAGAGACCAGGGGCGAACTACTAGAAGGCCGGTCAAAATGGACGTTAGGCAGCGGCACTGTTCGAAACAGAGGCAATTTTTTTGCTTCTACTTGACGGTGGCCGATGCATTTTTGTTCCATTTGTAGACTGGATATAGTTTCGTCGCCCAGCTTCTGAGTTGAATGCATGGCGTGACCCTGTGAGCTACGGATTGCATTTGGAATGTTGTTTCGACTGTGACTAATGTGTTGGTGGGAATTGTAGATTCAGAAAATGGCGCGACGCCTGTCGTCGCAATTTTGGTGGTGCCCGTATGTGATTAAAATTGATCGCGTGGGCAACTGCTGATCTGTTGGCAACTTCTGCTACCATCAATGATGAACTGCAATTCTAATACTGTGATAAACATTCTGTGTGTTTTTCGTTGGCACAGGAGCGGAGCAACGATGGGGTGACCCGTTTGCTATGAAGCTGAAACTAAGACTACCAGACTACCAGACTACTAGACTAGAAGTCCAAGTCCAAGTAAAAAATCCCAGCCCTTACCGGGGATTGAAATCGGAACCTCCAGCACTCGAGGCCGACACCATAACACAAGACCACGCAGCCTCCTATACACTTCATGATCAAACTGAGTGTCGGAAATGCGGAAAATAAACAATTGTAACATGGAAAGAAATCATCAAGGTTGTGTATTATCACCTTTACTTTTCATAATATTTATGGACAATATTAATAAAATAGACATAACACCAACAGATGTCGATAAACAGGAGGACTTCAATGAGCTGCTCTTTGCCGACGATCAATGCATATTCCACAGTGATAGTAAACAGCTGCAAGACCACATGAACCTACTACACGACAGTTGTCTCAAGCATCATATGAAGATCAATACTGAAAAGACAGAAGTCATGAGCATAAGTAGAGAGCAACAGACCATCGACATAAAGATTCTAGATCACAGCCTAAAACAAGTGCAAGAATTTAAATACCTGGGAAGTATCTTTACATCCAATGGTAAAATAGACAGAGAGATCGAAGCAAGAATCCAACAAGCCAACAATGTCGCATACCAGCTTGCCCCAATTTTAAAACACCCTGCTGTCCCAGCTGAGATAAAAAGACAAATTATAAATACAATCTTTATACCGACATTAGGTTATCAATGTCAGACTTGGACATTAACAAAAGAACATGAGAGAAGACTAACCACCTGTGAAATGAGATGTTTGAGAATGGCTGCGAATAAAACCAGAAGAGATCGAGTGAGAAACGATGTGATTACAAGAACTATTGGAACCATACCCATCGTTAAATTTATTGAGAAGCAAAGAATGAAATGGTTTGGTCACCTAATGAGAATGGAACCAACGATGCCAGCATCAAGAGCATACAACATGAAAATCGAAACAACAAGAGGCAGGGGAAGACCAAGAAGAAGATGGATTGAAGGAGTCACGGACAACTTAAGACTTCATAACATCACGGCATATGAAGCGACTGAGCGCGCCCTGGCTCGGTTGCCGATCATCTGATAGACTGCGACGCCTAGCGGCACAAGCAGATTTTGACAAAAGAAGAAGAAGAAGAAAGAAAGAAATCATAGTTATACTGGAAAGCCTAGAAAGGTAATCACTTGGATACATTTGATGAGATCATTGATAAGCTGTCAAAATGACGACACAGGCATCTGAAGACATCTCACTGTCTCTAAAACACGATGACTTATGTCTGATCTAGATTATATATCCTCACCATCAGATATTACTTTGCACAATAATGTATTAGTCTTTTGCATTTTCACAATAATGGACACAATTGGATGACACAAGTTGAAAGGTTATTGACTCAGTTTAGTTCACTTTGTAATATCACACAGACAGGCAGGATTTACTGGAGGCAAACGGGGGCTTTAATATACTGCGTGTTGTTGAAAACCTTTGGCAGGAACGATTCGGCTGCAGAGAGAAAACACAATAAAACATTGTGTATGCAGGAAATACTGACAGACACATTACATTAAAGTGTTACTAACATGTTTAGTTAGTTATTTAGTTTTAACAGTCATGGTAGGCGGAACTAGCCTTCGCCATCATATCACTATCATCATAAGTATCATCATCAACATCCTCATCATTATCATCAAGTATTGGCTTGTCACTTCATTCCACTCTTTCACGTTCACCATTACAAGTGGAGGGTTGTGACCAGGTTTACTGACAAGCTCCTGTCTGCGCCGTGTCGGACTGACATGTCCAAATTCAGCAACAAAACAAACGAACTAAAACAGTACTAACCGCTCGCAATAGTCCAGGTACGTGAAGAAAAGATAAGTCAACGCACAATAAAATGCCAAATTGTTTTTCTTCGCAATCGGTATGGTCATCTGACACAGACAGAGACTATCATTATGAAACAAAGATAATATTGTGACGAATGCCGATGCAAAAACCAATTATTTATATTCTTTAAAAATACCGGAAAAAAATACCGGAAAAAATACCGTACCTGTAATAATTCATGGAGAAAAATATCCGGCTAAATACTCGGGCAAATATCAAAGCTAGCTTGGCATCGTGTACAGGAGGTTGGAGAAGTAGCCCCATCGTTTGATGGCTGTTTGGTTTTACTAGTCAATTTAAGGTTCACTAGTTTGCCATTGCTCCCTGCATACCGTTTGTCATAAAAAAATAAAAAAGTGACCTGCAGTTGGAGTGGAAAATGGTATATCGGAATTACGAAAGGTGTTTGCAACGGCTAAGTGACAGGCATGGACAAATATAATTATCATTATTACCTACAAGAAAACACACGCACAATGCGGTGACTTGACTACAAGCCAGGAAAAGCTTTCCAATACATACGGACAGAAAATAATCCATTACGCCAGCCAGTCTCTACAAGGCTGACGTCAACTCTGAGGCCGGGATAACAAGCGGGTTGTCTAGATCGGGGTTGGCGTGAGCTGGCCACGTCAGGGAGCTGGCTCGTGGCGTTACCTGCGACATGCTTGGGTCATCGAGATCGGGGTTGGCGTGAGCTGGCCACGTCAGGGGGCTGGCTCGTGGCGTTACCTGCGACATGCTTGGGTCATCGAGATCGGGGTTAACCATAAACTTTCCTGCTAGCTCAAACTTCATAAACATCTTGTATCTATTGATCACTACGGTCAGTTCCTCAAGTTATGCACAACTTTAAAAGTCTACAACTCAGTCACCGTTCGGTATAAATTGTAAAATTGTGCACACAGCCTGTTTATGATCATGTTTTGTAATAATGTAAATAAATGTCTAGGCTTTAATTTGCATAATTGAAGGTTTATTTTTTTTTTTTTTTAAATAGAAAGCAAACAATTAGCTTGCTTACAGTTAATTGATGGAGGCAAATAGTTAGACAGTCCTGCAAGGTGCTCTTTTTCTAAATACTGGACTGAATAAGTCATGTACTGTCATAATCTCATGGACATAATTATAACTTCAGTCCGGAAAGCCAAAATAAAATCGTCTCAGTCTTTTTATGCTCAGTGGCCAGGTTTTTCTCACACACACAAAAAATTCTGTTTAGAAAGTGGGTGAATAAACATCCCATTTCACGCCTTTTGAGCGCATAGGGCATAGGATAAGAGCATCCATATTTCTATAGAACAATCAGCACGAGGTTGGTAATGCGGCTAACATTAGGCCGGCCGTACATCCTAGTAAGCAGTTTAGGCTGGGTCGACCTGCGACGCCCCATACCATGAGATTAATCCACGCAGCAAGCAGTGGGTTTTGATCGCGGTACGTTGGAATTATTAGTCGGACTTGCAACGCCTAAGCCACGGACGCCGCTCCATTTAAAACACCTACAAATAAGACAATAAACAAAAGCAGACAAATATGCCTCACCCATTGCTGAGAAAATCACGGGACACAAGAAGTAAACAACGAATGACTGCACGATGTATCGATTGTGTGCCTGACGCATGTGCGGTTGTCCAGACCTGCATGCAGATATTAATCTAATCTCCATCGGTTCATGGGCCTGGAGCAGATGTCAAGATTGAAGACTTCAGATGTTGGCGGTCTCTCCTGTCGAGCACTTGATGGGAATACGGTAAACACGAAGGGATTTTGATTGTTCGGGAGACAAGAGAGGGCCTCGTGGCTTTAGGGATGAGTCCTGTCTGCCTCATGGAGAAATAATATACATGGACACAAACGTTTATACAGGTGTAGGCAGACAGGTTTATACAGGTGTAGTCAGACAGGTTTATACAAGTGGAGGCAGACAGGTTTATACAAGTGGAGCCAGACAGGTTTATACAGGTGTAGTCAGACAGGTTTATACAAGTGGAGGCAGACAGGTTTATACAGGTGGAGGCAGACAGGTTTATACAAGTGGAGGCAGACAGGTTTATACAGGTGTAGTCAGACAGGTTTATACAAGTGGAGGCAGACAGGTT